CATATTCCTCCTAATTATTGAAGTGATGGTTTCTTTATATGGTTTTTTGGATAAAGGAATACAAAACGATGTACCTATATGCGAAACACAGTAACTTTTTCCAGGAGTCCAAAGAATTTGCTTTAATGCAATTGTCTATTGTATTGGCTAAAGAATCAGCAACAAACATCCTGGATGATTTAGGAATTCTTTTCAAAATGGTCACATTCTGTTTTAGGTATGCTAAATGAGCATTCAATGTTTTGGAAGTGAGATTTTCATTAATTTTTGAAGATTCACTGGAATTTTGACAAAAAAGGAATGAATGATGTTTTTTCCTCATGTGAATGTTAACACCACGCTTCGTTTGGAAAATCCGGTTACAAAAACTGCATTCCAAGTTTGAATTGGTTTCAGGGCATACAATAATTTCGTTTCCATCTGATTTTCTTGTAGATGACAGTTTTTTTGACTTTCTTGAATTGTCATTTTTCATATTGAGAAATGACAGATTTGAAAATTATATAAAATTCACAGCAAATGACTGAATTTCATGTGGAAAATTAGGCAAAACGATATACTTTACAAAGATGAACTTCTTGATGATAAATTTCAACAATATTTTCTTCAAATCAATACATAAAAAGGAAATTTTTCATGAGCGTTGAAACTGACACTGAATGTGTATTAATGTATTATTAATTAATACCCTAAATACCTATTCTACGTACCTGTATCTTGAGTCTCTTAAATTAATTTTACAATGTGTATTTATGTCCATATCCATGTTACAATGTAAAATTGACACAATACAGTTGATCAGTAGATGAGGCAAATTGCAAAATTAATTCAAGACGCACGTGAAGCGCCCGTTCTAGAGGGGGCAAACCGGGCAATTGCCCGGGGCGGCAAAAATGAGGAGCGGCAAAAATAGGTTAAAATTATACCATCTATGGAATAACGCATGGGTAAAAGGCAAGAAATATTATTTTGCCCGGAGCGGCGAAATAGATGGATCGGCCGCTGCGCAGGTACCTATAACCTAAAACAGGTAAGTATGATTAGTTTGATCTTCCTCTTAAAGATGATCACTTAGTGATCGAAACGCGTGTCGAGGTGGTGTTGGGAAAAAAACTCCAGTGATATACACCAAAGATTCCAAAGAGTGCATCCGCAAATCCTTCGTTCTCAAGATACAGGGTGTTAAAATAAAAATTACAAAAAAGTTATTCGTAAATATCTCAAATACCATTTACCTAATTTTGTTGTAATTTGGCAATGGTATTTATAAAATTAAGGATAACAGTTGTATAATGAAACGAAATTGCTTGACGTTAAAAGCCTGTATGCATACCATCACAGATGGATATTTTCTAATAAATCAAACTATTGCCCGGCAAGATGAAAAAATACTAGATACGCACGAAAGTCATCACAAGAAATGACTTACATAAAGAACAATATATCATTTTGCACCGAGATTATATAATATACTGCCAAAAGAAAGAAGGGATATCTCAAACTTCAAAACCTATAAAACAAATATTAAATAATGTATCACTACAAACGATACACTCATTATGACTCTACTGAAAAACGCATAACTATAAGAAATATGTATTCTCAGAAATAATTTCATAAGATATCTGAATACTGTAAATTACTAAGTAACTATGTTGGTTCTATCATCTCATCTTCTTAGTAGTGATCGCATCCATGTTAATAAAATAACCTACTATTCAAAACACAACAATTTATTCCACCAACTATCTCTTCTTTTCAAGTTGTCTATCGTTTTTTCCTCTTTTTTTAATCAGTAGTTGATTCTTCGCTTTTCTTTCCGTTTTCACATCTTTAACGAAATAATTCACATGTCGTACTGTAGGTACCAATTATAATTGGTACCTACAGTACGTATATTGTACCTATATTGAAAGTGTTCCGTGAAGAGGAAAATGAAAAGCACAACACAAGTCACAAGCGCTTAGTTTGCGAACCATTTTTCATCGAACGGCTCAAATGACCCGACTATTAAAAATGTATTTTCTTTCTGAACCGAAATAAACTGAAACTTGGAATTGATAATCTGCAAAAAATTCAGGGTAGATATCATATAGACGTTTCATTTCATCCCCAGAAATGGAAAAAACTATCTATAATTGCAATTCAGAGAGTTGTGTTAGACTAAATTAGTCTTTTTTTTACGTCAAAGAAATTATTATTTTTCTCACACAGTTGATTATCAAAATCACTGTACGCAGAACATCATTTTCTTCACGAATCAGTTTTATTACGATAACCTTCAAATAACTTGAATAATAGCATTGACAGTGAAGGATATTTTTCCTGGATCTTAGGCCATATATTGGCAAAAAACTATTTCAATTTTTTCGAAATCATTTTATTTTCTCGTTAAAATGACATCATATATGTCATATATTGAAATAATTTCAAGAATTTAAAACCATGTAACAATGTTTGTTAAGGCAAAAATAATAATATAATATCTATGATGATTGTTATTACCTATATCATGTGCTTTTGTAATATCAATGGTAACGATAAATAATCTTTCTACTTTTGATTTTATTCGTAAATAAATAATTATAGATGTTTTGATGTTGTTTGTGAGAATGACGACATACTTTCGAAATCATATATTTTCGGCATTCAATTTTTGATGACGCTGATACAAAAGTATCATTGAAATAATTTCAAAATCATGTAAGAAAGAAAATATGGCTCCGGTGTTGCAATTGTCTAGGCATGATGGAGGTTGTGATAGCTCCCATATGTTCTGTATTCTGTAGTTCTGTGGCTTTGATAATTGACAGTTGGCAGCTGATAGTTTGAACTGATAGAGGTAAATAAATATAATTTTATTTACAATTCAATATCAGAGAAATGTTTCAAATTGATTTACTGAATAATGTATTTTTATTGTAGCTTTGAATCTAGATCTTACTTATTTTACTGTCAGCATTTTGTAAGTAATCACAAAAATGCATGACATTACATTCCATATGTGTTAGATATAGAAAACTGAATGACATTGGCATACATATGTGAATAACCTAGAGGTTTTAAAATTTATTTCATTTAGGCCAATGAGATTTCATCTATTGATCAAATGAATCACATTCTTTAATCAAAAGTCTGGTATTCCCATATTTAAATATAGCAATCACTTTCCTCAGCAAATTGTCTCAATGTAATCTGGACAAAATAAATAATGATGCAATATATTTTTCAAGTGATGTATTTTCGTGAAAATTCACTAGTCAGAGATATATAAATATGGTGTCCAAAAATATTATCCTTTCAAGTTCAGAACTAATAACTGCTTCTGACTAAATGTTTGTTTCAGAATCAACAGACCTCGGATACATTACTTAAAAATTAGTATAGTAATGGTATTTCGAAGTATTTCATCAGTTACTACTATTGTCGATTACTACTCAATAATACATTAATATATTCAAAATGTGTGAACCTAGAGAATCACTAAGTTCCTTTGTCGATAAAACTGATCGAGAACCTGAGTTTGATAAAATACTTGGAAGAAATGTTTTGGTTGCTCCTTCTGAAGAACAATATGATTTACTATTGAAAAGGCTGAAACAGCAATTGGGGGAAGGACGAGGAGAAGTAATTTTAGAGGTAAAAACTACTTTATATAGATTACACATTTTTGGTTGTACCAGGTATATATACCGGCTGCAAGATAAATCATTGTACACAGTGGTGCCATTTAATTGTTCATAAGGTAAGAAAGTTGAAATTTGAAATGAAGATATAGATGATTTTCATTAGTTCGGGCTTCCATTGTCTAGTATGATATGATTTTAAATCTCTGAAATAACAAATTAAAATTAAAAAGAATAGCTGAAAATAACAATTATATTAAGCAAGAAACCTGAAATGAAATCACAGTAAAATAAAAATTAAGTAAAAAGTTGAAAATTGAACAATTGGAATAATATAAAAATTAAATTGAAAATGGACCAATTGAAATGAAATAAAAATCGAATGATTTCAAGCCAAGTTACTTCACAAAATTTTGATTATTAGTAACCACAATCCTCTTCAGGTGATGACTTGACTTATTATATTGTTGAAATATAATTGATATTAAGAGCTTTTCGATAAGGTAATTCAAGTAGGAAGTTGCTATTTAAGACAAAGTTGGTGTGTCACTTCATTTTGTTTCCTCTCTATTATGGAAGTTATTTTCATCGATTTTGTGCTTGTTGGTCAACATGTTTTTTCCAATCCAGTCTAGGATTTTTGTGATACTAATAATTTCAAACATGGAGCAGATGTAATTTCATCTACATCATGAAGTAGCAAAAAAGTGTCATTCTGTTGCCTATTAAAAAAACTTCATGATCAAATTATAAAAAATGAAGGGTTTTATTTAAAATTCTTGACTTGGGTTCATTTCCGGTTAATCCTGAATAGATTTCCGAGTGTTTTATAAAAAATATCGGCTAAAATGAACTATAACTAGTCATCGCAGATATTAACTCAGGATATATAAACCTCTGAGGAAGCTAGCCACTCACGCCAGAGAAACGTCAGGAAGAAATTCCAAAAATCCACGCCCTTCAAACTCAGAAAATGGTGACACTAACTATAACTTCATTTCGAAATTCAAATTTCTCTGTTCATAAACAACTAAATGGTGCCGTGTACAATGATTTCGTTATCACCCAGTATATATATATTTTATTTCAATCACGGTTTTTAAAAAGGGCTATTGTTGTTCAATACTTTTTTCATAGAACACATTTATTTATTTTTTTCTTCAGCTATGGTTTTCTCACTAATAATTGACCTATATTGCAATATTGAATAATAAAGCACGTTCGAACAGGAAAAATTTCATTTCATGAGGAGCAAATATGCATCTCTGAGCTGAATGGTTACCTCAGAAAATGTGAGATGTGAGAGCATCTCAAAATAAATATGTAGGGAAGAAGTAGAAAGTAAACAAAAATTTTACCTGAGTTGAAGTATAATACATGTTTGGCATAGAATTCTCATTTTTTCCTATTCATTGTCAGGGTTGCCAGGTTTAAACCAATATGCTTGAAACATGCATGCATACATAGTATTATTAAATACTTTCGGAATAATAATTTAGCAAATGCATGTTACCGCAAATCTGGAAATTTAAAATTTGTTGTACCCATTGAGGTTTGATAGAATACAATGTGCGATTGTCTGTAATCTTATATTAAAGCTTGGCAAATGTTGATTAAAATTTGTGAAGAAAATAGGTAGACAATAGACAAAGATATACAGGCTCAAGTAGGGAATGTAGGAATTAAAAGAAAGGCAGAACATTTACTTTCACTACCAAAACCCATTTCTTTTGCACTTGATACAGTACAAAGTAATACATGTACAATTAGTGATTCTGTACCTGTATGGAAGGAGCTTGAAAACAATTTCAGAAATATTGGAAATGGGGAGTATATGAAAAAATTCAAAAGTCGGAATGAAATCGCAATGACAAGCACATTTTTTGTCATATATGCTTGACTCAAGGGAATAATCTTACTTAGATTTTACACAGGAAGAGACATCAAAAGCTCTGGACTTCACAAAAGCAAATGATCCTGAAATTTATATTTTGCCAATAATTATAAAGTTTCAGGCAAAAGAGTGACTTCAAAAGTGACACCGATTGAGTGGTGGAAAAGCCACAAAAATATTGATACTAACATAATTAACGTCTTTGGCTGGCATTGAAAGAATGTTTTCTTCCTTTGGGCTAGTGCAGTTGAAACTTCCAAACAGGTTGGGTGCAGCAAAAGCCTCCAAACTGGTGTCTTTATTTAAAGTTTTTAATAAATCTGCCGCAAATGAAGATAAATAAATTCTATTTTTGTATTTTCGAACTTTCTTATTTTCAATATTATAACGTTTAAAGATGTTTTTGTTACATAAAATTTTTGTGTTTGTTCATGAAAATTAAATTTGTCTTGATAATTTTTTTCATTGTTTATCACTATTATTTTATAAAATAATNTGGTTTGGAATCTTTTTTTTAATTTTTATTTTTCGTTTTTTGGAATTTCAAATCAATTTATATTATATTAGACAATGGAAGTCCGAACTGATGAAATACATTTCTCAACTTCAATTTCAGTTTTTCTACCCATTTCGACTAGGTATTTGCAAATAGCTCAACAAAGCTTACATTGCAGTTCTAAAGGTTAAATAAGTACTGAACAAAGAAAGCCCATTAAGATGATATTATGCATTTACTACATGGCAGTGTATGATTCAGCAACATAATACAAGAGAGTGTTTTCATCTATCAATGAAGAATCATAAGAAATGTTGTACCTAGAGTACAGATAATTTTGCAGTTCTGCGTTCAAAGATTTGCGTACTATCCTTCCATTCACTTTTCATTTTGAAGTTTATGACTTATGTGATGAATAACTTTTCTGAATTCAGCACATTCTACATCATCATAATTATCCTTTCAGAAATATGATTCTAGACCTACATAAGCATGAATCAATCAAAAACCAATTAAAAATAAAAGCATTTTTTTTAAATACAAATGTGACCAATTCAAGGCAAAAGTAAATTATGTTTAGGTACTACAAATATATTTATTCATAAATAGGAATTCAATTTTTTTACATTGAGAGGTATTTTGAACTAGAATTTGTGATTTCATAAGTAAATATTTTGTTTCAATCACAATTTTAACTGTTTCAACATTTTTGACATAAAAAAAGTAAACTGAGCAACTGATATCTTATCATTTTTTTTTCAAATTCAAAGTTGGTAAATATATGAGGGTTTTGGACTGTTCTGAAACAGAATCTGCTGCTATTTTCATCAAAACAATCCCTTTTCGAGTTTTCATGATCATATCAACATTTTTAACCTGTTTCTTCAAGTCATTACTAACTAAACTAATACTTTTTGATGTTTTATATAGATTGGTGGTTCGGAAGATGGTAATGAGAATGGACTTCTTGATGATGAATTGGAAGCAGCAGTAGCTACATTGCAATCTCTGGCAAACACTCTCGAATGTAGTTGTGTGAAACTAAGAGAACGAAAAGAGCTGCGAGGAGTTGTTGTTCAATATTTGATTCGTAAAGTTTTGGATCAGTCTGGTAAATATTACTATTATTCAGATGGAGTTATTGCTCACTCAAGATTATTCCTATTAACCCATTTGGGACCACCAATAGAAATATGAAGAAAAACATAAAATGTCCAATTAAAAACATTCATTTGAATTTCAATATAGTAAACAATGCACATAAGAAAAATATTATAAAAGCGACAAATATTTTTTTCACATTGCGATAATACATCATTGCGACATTAGATATAGAAATGTTAATCATTATGATATTCCTCAAAACAGTTTGCATTTAATGGGATTCTCCATTTATTGTACATGAATATGGTTGTGTTTTGCACAATTGCATTCTTTGTACAAGTGATTATTATCTGCAAAGTAAAGATTCTGTTTCATTCCAAATTTTTTCGTGACATGCCTTTTTTACAAGCTGAACACCCATCAGGTGACTAGTAGAGTTTTAACTGTGTTACAGTGATGCCCAATCAATATCAGTATTCCCAAACAAATTTCAATATCACTTTGGTCTATGTCAACTTATGGAGGTTTATTTTCTCTGGAGAATTCAATAGAATTTGAAATAAAGCACTGCATTACATTTTCATCAAACTTTTGCATGAAAAAATCCAGCGCAGATTTTTCTTGTAATATCTCAGTTATACTTTTCACATCCATTACTTCACTTCAAGTAGCATCATTTTCATGGTCAACAGATGTTCTTCACCAAATAATATGAGGGTGCTTCAGATTTTATATTTCCTCTATCCCAAATTTTCTATTTCTCCTATACCACCCTCATCCATTTTGTTCCCATATATAAGGTCATCAACTTCAGGTGGTATATAGCACACATCCATTTTCTTATTCAAATTGAGGTCCTCAAAAATTGCCTCAAGTTCTTTTGGGGTAAAAGAGGTCTTTTGGATATCACATGTTTCTTCATACTCTATGAAAATCTGCACATAAAAAAATGTCCAACATCAACATAAACTAATTTACAACTTCTGTATCTGTCTGTAGAGTAGGGAGGGTGAGTGTAAGCCCACGCACTTAGGCCACATGTGACCCATTGTACATCCTCCCGAGGAGTTGTCCTCCTAGGTCGTCGTCCATCCTGTCCTTTCCAGGAAGGTGGACAGGTCGCTGGGAGACATCTCCTTTATATCGGCAGGTGTAGGCCAAGACTCGCCGAACACACACTCTCTTATTGACGATAACTCCGGGCACTCGCACAGGACATGCCTGACAGTCNACAACAGGTAAATAGGTACGTAAGTGCACGTGATGAGTTTTTAGGTTAGACTGCTAGACGACGACGCGCAACGGAGCGCATAGGCGTAGAGGAGCGAGGGAGGCGCAGGCGGAGGGTGCCGGATTATTGGACTTATCGGTCTATTGAAGTGCCGGATTAGTGAGATTCAACTGTGTATATTATTTTTTATTCATTAATTCATTATAACTTAAACCCACACTTACATTAGTCCAAGATATTTTCAATGAACATTTGTAAATTAGGGTTACCTAAATTAATAAAATACCACTACTCCTACTGACCTTGTAATGAAGGAGTTTCTATGTCTTCTGAATCACAATAGACATATGGTCATGAATACTATAACTAGATAGACCGATAACAAAGTGTTGAATATAAGCCCAACAAAATTGACTGTAGTAACATTCACCAAGAGGATCAAAACAGAGGGCCTTGGACCTCTAAAACTTCAAGGTGAAGAATACATTTGTCGAGGAAGGTCTAATATCGGAGAGTTGTCCTAGTTCCCAGGCTGACCTGAAATAAACATCAAAAAGGATTGATAAAGAAGGCGGGGGTAGTACGGCTGCTACCTCCTAACAGATCAATATTTTCACAGACAGCCAGGCTGCACGAAAGAATTCAAAAGTATCTTCGAAGCTAATCTGGGAACGCCAAGAACTGAGGAACGTTGCAGGCAGGAATAGATTGACTGTATACTGAGTGCTAGAACAATCAGATATCACAGGCAACGAAAAAGCTCAGCCCTTGAATCAGCTGTGAGAATACCAACATCTGTGGATCGGAATCAGGTTAGGAAGTGGGTCTATAAGATACATAAAGAGTACTGGTAAAACATACATGAGAAAACCTTTTAAACGGAGACCTTAGCTGCGTCAGGGCAACAATAAAACATATTTTATCTAGATGTGAAGCACTGGATCACAGGAGGCAAACTATTTATGGACAGCCCAAATTATGTCCAAATTAATGTGACTATATTTGATTATAATGTCATTCTAGGGAAATTTCATAGGAAAAATCATTTTTGAATATGAAAAAATACTATTTTAACAGTAACACAACTATGGGAACAAATGAGTTAAGGACCAGATTGACATAAGGAAGTCTATCATTGAATCGTGAATGTTATAGATCATTATTTTACTCAGGATTGTTTTTATTGAAGACAGTCAAAATCAAATAGTGCATACATGGCCCAGCCTAGTACTACTGATGAGATCCATTGTAGATCCAAACAACTTTATATAGTATTGGATCATGAGTGCAAAACTACCAGGCTCTAGGATCTTCTAATATCATTACGGGTACATTACATTACAGGTACGAGGTTGGGTTTAAAAACAGCTTTCATAGCTGAACTCCGCCTATTCATCATTTGTTTGAATTTTATTTAATTTGTACTTCTTATTGTGATGAATAAAGACATTATTATTATTATTATAGAGATTTCCATTATAACAGTAGTTCGTCGTTGAATAGCAGAATTTCCATTTCAATAACCCTATTATTTCTTACTATTTTTAGATTTCTTGGAAATTCGTGTTGCTGTTGTTGGCAATGTTGATGCTGGAAAATCTACCTTATTAGGAGTTTTAACACATGGTGATTTAGATAATGGCAGAGGTCATGCCAGACAAAGGCTTTTCAGGCATAAGCATGAAATGGAATCTGGGAGAACTAGTTCTGTGGGAAATGATATTTTGGGTTTTGATGAAGAAGGTAAAAATTCATGACATCAATAATAATCATCTCAAAAAACTTTTTTATCTCAGTTAACACAATAAAATTATGTTACAAAGCTATAATAATGAATGCACAATCCACCAACATTTTTAATAAGTAAATTCATATTTTATTCAACAGGACTAAGTTATTTAACAGTGATTTTCTCTCCTTATACATTGATTTTGTGAAAAAAATCAAAATTTGAATATGTTTTCAGTAATGTTAGGTTAGATCCAAAGTGAGTGGGTCTATTCGACCCTTCACCACAACCCGCAAGGGTTTATTTTGGCCCCCCACACTTGACCAAATAAACCCAGCTTCTTAACGAAGCCGATTAGTTTGTAAGGTGAGTGGTGTTTCAAGTCAGATGGTAAGAGTATGGCTCTACCGAACTCTAAAAGCCTGATTCGGTCCCCAGCGGGGCAGGCACAAAGTATGTGCTCTGCTGTTTCATCATTTTCCAAACAGAGGTGACAAACACTGTCTTCCAACAGTCCGAGTCTCTGCATATGATGCTTCAAATGACAGTGACCTGTAAGAAGACCTGTTAGACATCGTAGTTCATCCCTTCTGTAGTCCAACAACTGTTTGGTATCAAGCTTTGAAGGGTGAATAAACGCCTTGGAGTGCGTCAATTCTCGAAGATTCTGCCAGAAGTCCATAAATCTTGCCATCCAGGTGTTCAATCTTTGTTTGGCAAAACCAAAAGCGATGCCAATGGCAGATTCTGGTCCGATGAAGCTGCTTGCAGCACCCTCCTTTGCAAGGGACTCAGCAACGTCGTTGTTTTCCAGGCCAATATGGCCAGGAATCCAGATCAGAGACAATATGTTAAGTCTTTCTATTGAGGAGACTCGTTTTTGGCAATTTGCTACCAATTTAGACATTGTTCGTTAGGAGCCAAGAGCTTCCAACAGCGCTTAACTGTCCGAGAATATTTGTATTGACTTTAGTAATGTTATTCCTATCTCAAAATGGAGCGAGTATTCAGTCAAGATCAAGATATTTTAGAAATGAAAAAAAATATATTAAGGGGTTACGTATAAAACCTTTTCCGTTACAACTCATATGAGCAATCTAGCATCCGTTTTTGAAATGAGTTCAACACCAACTCATTTTTCCCAAACGCTAAGACACATTTATATTTTTTCAATAGTCTCAATTTCAATGTAATGTATTCAGTTGAACACCTAGAAAGCCAAATGAAGCTGGAATGTTGCAGAATCACCTATGGTACAGAAGGAGTATTGCGTTCATTGACAATTAAAAAATTGCAGAAAAAAAACAGACCTGCATTTCAGGGTATGGCCCAAGTTGTCCCTTTCAAGTATTACATTGTATCACAAATTATACCTAAACAATCCACGTTTTTATTTATAATAAATGACACTTTGCCAATCTAAAAATTCGAATACTGAAATAATTTATGTCATCAGGCAATGTTGTTAATAAACCTGAGCATGGTTCCTTAGACTGGGTGAAAATATGTGAGAAAAGTTCGAAGGTGATCACTTTTATTGATCTTGCTGGACACGAAAGATATTTGAAAACAACTGTTTTTGGAATGACTGGTCATGCTCCAGACTTCGGTATGCTAATGGTGAGTTTTCTCGTGTAACATATTCTTCATAAATATATTGATCATGTCTACATATTTTATGTTAGGTAGGTGCAAATGCTGGAATAATTGGCATGACTAAAGAACACCTAGGGTTAGCTTTAGCACTCTCTGTGCCAGTATTTGTTGTGGTTACAAAAATTGATATGTGTCCGATGAACATCCTACAAGACAACTTGAAGATGCTGGTGAGGATATTGAAGTCTCCTGGTTGTCGAAAAGTACCTGTCATGGTTAAAACTGCTGATGATGTTGTCTTGAGCGCAACTAATTTCGTATCTGAAAGGTAAAGATTCAAAAAATGTGTTAGATGACTTTATAGAGTAGTATAATTTTTTCTGACATTGATAAATTGTTTCATTCCAGACTATGTCCGATTTTCCAAGTATCAAATGTGACTGGTGAAAATTTACATTTGCTGACTACCTTCCTTAATCTCTTAACTACTAGAATGGAGTATCATGAAAATGAACCAGCAGAGTTTCAGATTGATGACACGTACTCTGTTCCTGTAAGTAAACATTCACTGGAATTATAGTTGATGAAAAAATTGAGCCTGGTCATTTCCAGCTACTTTTCAGTATCACATTTTTTCAGTGTATTTTTGCTGATTTGTTAAAATGATCAGTTAAAATGTAAACTAAAACAACACACAAAATATAAACTGTCCTTCAGATGATACATAATCATAACTTTTGTTGTGACTCCAACTCAATGTAAAATTGTATATGAAAGGTCATAGTCTTGTGGATCTCCATAGTCACACATACTCAAGTTCATGAATCTCAAAGTTAACATATACTATATTATGATTTCATTATACTATGCTGCAGTAGGTTGGGTTAGGTCAAAAGTGAGTGGATCTATTCGACCCTTCACCGCAACCCGCAAGGGTTTGTTGTGGCTCATACCTATTCACACTTGACGAAATAATCTCAGTTTCTCAACGAAGCCGATTAGTTTATATGGTGAGTGATCTTTCAGGTCAGATGGTGAGAGTGCGGCTCTGCCAAACCCTGAAAACCTGATTCGGTCCGCAGCGGGGTAGACACAAAGTATGTGCTCTGCTGTTTCATCACTTTCTAAACGGAGGCGACACACACTGTCTTCCAAGAGTCCGAGTCTCTGCATATGATGATTCAGACGACAGTGACCTGTGAGAAGGCCGGTTGAACATCGTAGATCATCCCTACTTCCAACAACTGTTTGGTTTCAAAAGGAGAATGAACGCCTTGGAGTGAGCAATTCCTGGAAGATTTTGCCAGAAGTTCATAAATCTTCTTGCCACCCAGGTTTTCAATATTTGTTTGGCAAAGCCTAAAGTGATGCCAGTGACAGGTTCTGGTCCGATGAAGCCGCTTGCAGCACCCTCCTTTGCAAGGGAATCAGCAGCCTCATTGCCTTCCAGGCCAGTATGGCCTGGAATCCAGACCAGATACAATTTGTTAAGTCTTTCTATTGAGGAGAGTCGTTTTTGGCAATTTACTACCAATTTAGACGTTGCTTGGTAGGAGTTAAGAGCTTCCAATGCCGTTTCACTATCTAAGAATATTTTTATTGACTTGTGTATGATATTGTATTCTTCCAATCTTTCTCCACACAGTTCAATGGCATGAATTTTCGCTTGAAATACATTCGCATAAGTCCCTAGGCAAGTTCCCTGCCCTGGGTCTGCGACTTAAAACATCTGCACCAGAACCTTAAGGTGTTTTCAATCCATCTGTGAACCAACAACTATCTGCTCTCATTTTCCCGGAGAGTCCAGTCGTCTCTACTCAGGAATAGTACTGTATAAGGCAGTTCGTAGTCGACAGTTGGAGGCATAATGTCAGAGGTCATTCCTAGAATGCTATAACTTTCAGTGTCAACCAGCAAGTCGGTACGCAGTCCATCTTGCTGCTTTCTCCAGAAAAATGTAGAGAGGAGATAAATCTAGAAAGATGTCCATGGCCGCTGATGGTGTGGTACTGATGGCACCATATATCGCCAGACAAGTCTGTCTATGTAAGCCACAGAGCTTCGCCTGAGCCGATTTCTGCAAAGCCTTCGGCCACCAGGCAATTGCTCCATAAGTGATCATTGGTCTGACATGTCGTGTTTAATGGTAAATCTGTCGATTTGCCGGTTCAATATGCATACTGGTAGTTATTCGAGGGTGGCTGCATATAAAGTCACTGGCTGCATATAAAGTCACCTTCCTGATGTGTCCATGCAGTATCCTCTCAAGTCCTTTCAACAGGAAGGATGTAAGGCTGATTGGTCATACCGATTTAGGGTGTGGGTCTTTCCAACCCACATTTGGTTTATATACCACCCTTTCTGCTAACCAACTGGGTACTTTTTCATCACTTACATTCGTGATGTATATCATTCTCTATACTTCAGATATTCAACTTGGCAATATAGGATTAATCAATAATGATAATAAAATACTTTTTCAGTCCTTTAGACATTTATGGAAATGTCAACACCTCGTCTCGTATCTCTCATGAAAATATCAAATTGTTGTTTGATTTTCTTTCAGTTCGCCGATTCATCAATAAATGTTAATCCCTTTGGTGGCTTCAGGCTTCACTTGATCTTGTTTCTTGTACTTGTATATAACCAATTTATAATTTTGGATTATAAAACTCTTACTTATGTTACGAGGGTCTATTCTGAAGGAGACTCTGATATTCAAAAGACGTTTTATTAGAACATCTGCAACTGTCTACATTATTTATTCTTGGTTAATCTTAACTTTTCTTCATTTACAATCTCGTCCATGCTGTGACATACTGACACTGTTACAATTCTGCTATTATTACCAACATACACATATGCAACAATCAACTGCTTAGGTTATAAATAATAATACGTTATGGAATGCTTCTGTTTAGTTCTTTTACTTCATGATATTAGTGGTATTAAAAAATGAAATCAGAACACAAAGACAAAACATTCATGACCAACCACCAGATATTATTGGACCCGATGTCCTTATGGTTTTTCACCCTTTTCAATCAGAAACAAAAATTTGCATGACGACGCGATAGCTATCATGCACTTATTTTGCATGCTTGTCAACTATCAAACATTATAATTTTGAGTGGAAATATACTTATCGTGAACAGAACACCCACAAATTAAAAACGGATCGCACTTCGGTGTATAACCTTGGGTAAGACAATGTCAACGCATCTATTGTTTCCAGTTTGTGCTTAGCTTAACCAATACGACTATTTCCAGAGTAAAAATCATAGTGCTTTTCGTGAAAAATGAATTCATTTACTATATCTTGTGGAAGATTTGGTACAGAAAAATTTGCTGGAAAAAAACAAACTTTCACACTAATGATGAACACTAAAATAAATACGAAAGAAATAGTTACCAATGAAATTTTTTACAAGAATGTTTGTCGAAACGAAACAGGAGATTCTTGTAAGCTGAAAATGCAATCAGGTTCTGAACAAATATCCAAAGAAAGGTGTATAGGTTAACTGATGTCTATCCCCAATGTATCATGCGAAATAGGATGATATGCTTTGAAAGTCAATGTTTTGTGATGTTTTTTGATTATTCAACCTTCCACAATGGATGTTCGAAGGAAATAGACCCGACTTTGTGTCTGGGATATTTTCGTAAGTGAGTTTTTTGGGCTTTCAGAATGGAAAGTAATTTCAGTACACATAAACTTTCATTTATATCAAACTAGCGACCGCCCCGGCTCCGCATAGGTGCAATTCTGATAATAAATATACTACAGAATGTCTTTGAAGTATTGTTATTTTCCTTACTAGAGAGCTTCGATAAACGCGTGCGATCGCTGCTAATCATAAAGTGCTGTAGGGCGAAGCGCGGCCGTAAACGCGCTATTTATAAATACGCGCCGCCAGCCCCCCCGGGCCGGTACCGCCGCAACCGCCCTGCATTTCAAATCAATAATGTTTGAAGCAAAAAGACCTGACTTCGTCTGGAATGTTTTCACAAGTGAATTTTTTTGGCTTTCAGAAAGGAAAGTAATTTAATTACACATAAACTTTCATTTACATTAAACTAGCGACCGCCGTGGCTTCGCACGGATGCAATGCTAATACTAAATATACTACAGAATGTCTAAAGTATTGTTATTTTTCTCGTTAGAGAGCTCTGATAAACGCGTGCGATCGCTGCTAATCATAAAGTGCTGTAGGGCGAAGCGCGGTCGTCAACGCGCTATTTATAAACACGCGCCTCCGGCCCCCCGGCCGGTACCGCCGCAAACGCTATGTCCCTGTATTTCAAATCTATAGTGTCTTTCAAACATATTCATTTAAATGACACGCTGTGAAAGGCCATGTCGATCTATATTAAATGCACAATGTATTTAAGGTACATAATTGGATAATGATTAATGCTGTATTGCTTATAATCGCTTCATAAATGAGCCATTATTCCTCGTAAAAAGTAAAGGATAAAATATTGTTATTGTGGGTTACACATATATTATCGCGGACTTTTTTGTAGAATACTGTAGTACATTATTTTGATCTAATGTTTGCAATGTAAGCGCAAAAAAAAAGTGTTTATTTACTACATCACATTGGAAATATGTAAAATTATCCGTGTTTCTCCGCTATATTAAGCACGTATATACATATAAACCTTCCTCATGAATCACTCTATTAAAAAACCCGCATCAAAATCCGTTGCGTAGTTTTAAAGATATGGAATTGGCAGAAAATTCAATCTCTAGTTTCACTTAGTGGTTTTGCAGTGAAAGCTGCAGAGAAGGACAAAAATTGAATTTTCCTTCTGGGGTCATTATGAAGTTTAAGTAATTGCATCTGTAATAAACTACCCAGTTATTTGGGCAAACTTTTTTTCTTGTTTAGATGATAGAGGGTGAATCTATGGTGACTGAAGACTTTTTCACATTATTGCACCTCATTCAAAATTTATTGATTAATTGATATGACTTTTTACTTTTAGGGTGTTGGAACCGTAGTATCTGGAACAACTCTGAAAGGGGTTATAAAATTGAATGATACTCTAATGTTGGGACCTGACCCTCTGGGACATTTTCAACAAATTGCTGTGAAAAGTATACATAGAAAAAGGATGGCTGTTAAAGAAGTTCGAGCAGGACAGACAGCCAGCTTTGCCTTGAAAAAGGTTAGACTTCAACAATAATTGACAAAAATATGATTGTAAGTGACTTGGACGGGTGAGCCTTCAGAAAACATATATGTCCTATAGAAGTTGTTAGGCTTTCCCTGCCAAGGTGTACCACATCAGTATTTTTGTTGGCTTTTAAGAAAGCTGTACTGTGAAACTTCTTCCTGCGTGCTAGCAAAACGTCAGGAAGAAGTTGGACAGTACAACTGCCCTCATGCCCGACAATAGATGCTGATGTACTTAACATTATGTACAGTTATCCTATGTATATAAGATTATTTCCTAAATATATATCGTATTGTATTAATACATCAATTTCCAGGGTGTATAATGTTTAATATCAATAGTAACATTATAGATTTAGAAAAAAATTGCTGGAAAGTTTAAACACATTCTGAAATGGTATATATCTCACATTCTTTAATAATGTTATCATTGGCAAAGAAAGGTTTTGGGTTTCACTCCTCCATCTTTTTCATATACAGTGGAAACTCAATTAACCCGACTAATTGTTATCATTAGGCATTCAGATAATCAAAAATCCTGATACTGTTATGTGTTTATTAAAAACAACAAATACATATCAACAAAAATCAATGTTTATCAAGAAATTATTAAGAGATACATTTTCCAACATACGATGTATGCACTTATTTATGTATGTATGTAGACGTGATGCATGTCAGAGCGTAGTAACAATTGCTAACTAATTATAACAAAACACATGAAACAGTTGGACGGGGTAAGTTTTGATCATCATTCAACATTTCAATTCCCTTATATTCGCTACTTGTAATATCATTATTTTAATTTACAGATCAAGAGATCACAAATTCGTAAGGGTATGGTAATGGTTTCACCCTCATTGAATCCTCAAGCCTGTTGGGAATTCGAAGGAGAAATTTTAGTTCTTCATCATCCAACCACCATAAGTTCGCGTTATCAAGCCATGGGTAAGAAAACATTCAAACCTACCAAGAAGTTGTTATGATTATATTATTTTTTTTTAGTTCATTGTGGAAGTATAAGGCAAACTGCTAGTATCATGAGTATGTCAAAGGACTGCTTGAGAACGGGTGATAAAGCGTTGATTCATTTTAGATTCATCAAACATCCCGAGTATATGACATCTGGGCAAAGAATGGTGTTTCGAGAGGTAAATGTTTCAGTGAATTTCGTGTAATGAAGTTGAAATAGTTTTTGAGTTCATGATAACATATTTCTATTCATCAGCAATAGCATTGCTGAATATGATGATAGAATTTCCATATAGTGTGTTGTTGGATTTGGGGCACCTTCACCGTTGAAATTTCAAATACAGACCTGTATTTATACAGGGTGTTCCTTAAACACATGCTAATATTTAAGGAGGTAATTCTTAGACCGATTTTAAGGAAAAAACGTCCTATGGACGTATGTCCTAAACGCCTTAACTTTTGAGATACAGGGTGGCAAAGTTTTCAAAAATAATCGGTTTTTTAATAATAACAGATAATTTTGTAGACATCTTTTACCTTCTTATTCTGACTTCGTCAGAAGGCATTTGAATATACCAAATATTTCAAACGAATTTGAATTCCTGCAATATTAACAATTGCTCGAATTTTCATATAAATATCAATATAAGTAATAATTGGAATGTCTCTGTTATTATTACCCATCCTCTATTCGAATTTCAATATTTAATACAAATAAGTATCAAAGTGTTCGAAATTTCGGTCTAGAAAGAAATGAAAGAGAGATGTGTCTCATTGATTTGTTATTCTACAAGATTGCTGAAAACATATTGTACGCAATACGTCCTAAAGCACGTCCTGGAATTTTTGTTAACTCTTGCAATAAACCAGTAATTTTCGGACTTGTAACGTAAATTACTATTGTGGTTTTGTGAAATGATAGTTCAAAATTTCACAATGAAGTATTGTTCTCGTATATTTTGGTGGATTGTTTCTGATGAGTGCTGGTGAAATTATTTTCTTGTTGGTTCATGAAACTCTGCTTTACAATTTTTCGATTCTTTATATTTTAATGAATTATTTTAAAACATAGTATCATCAAGAAAGTTTCTTCCATTCGATTTTAGTTCTTTACAAAATATTTTTTTAGAAAACTCATTTCGTGTTGTCAGTTATTTCAATTTTGGCAACAAAAATGATCTATCTTCAAATTTACTATTATCCCTATT